CCCTCTCCGATAACGCTTGCGGGACCCTCCCCCCCACGACAGGACTGGCTTAGAAGCACGCTCGTGCACTGCAACGCGCAGCGCTACCGCCTGCGCACTGCCGGCCGTAACTTCCTCACGTACCTCCTGAGATCTGCCTTCCACTACTACGGGTCCATCGGGGTCGTGCGGAAACCGCTCATGGCCGTGTTTCAGGGGATGATCAGGTATGCCCCATGTCCCCGTCTTCCTTCACCCCCCTCCCCCTCTCCGCCGAGCTACAAATTTCAAAATTACAAGATTACCGCACCGTGAGTCTGGTGCTTGTATGTTGGGGTGGTGTTTCGTGCGTGTTTTTTTTTTCTCTTTGAGATTTTCTTTCCCGGCAAGGTGTCCTTTCGCCCAGAGTTCGCAGTGCGTCGCCTGCAACGCTGCCGACTGTGACGTTTCCGCCCCTTTTCATTGGACTCTGCTCTGCTGTGTTTGTCTTGTTGGCGCGCGCACACAGCAGAAAGTGGGAAAAAAAACTGGACGGAAACAGGCAAACTATGCAACCTTCATCACGATCCCGGCACCGTTGCACGGGCACATGGCCACTTTTGAACATTTCGGACTTGGGATATGCACGTCTCCATCACTTCCTGCCCCTCTCTCCTCCCCCCCCGCCCCGCCCCCCCCCTGTTTTCTATATATTCTTGACACCCCGGCTACTTTTCCTTGGGATCAATGCCCCCGCCACATTTCCTTGGAAACAACGCATGCACACAAACGACCGCAGCTGCATGTCCGGGGAGCTGGACAAGACGGAGAGGCATCGATGCCCGGCACAACCTTGCGCGGGGGGAAAGGGGAGAAGGGCGGTTATCAGCACCGTGGAAGAGGCGGTGCAGGCCCTGGCGCCGCTGGACACCACCCTCGAGGAGATGAGGGACAGATTGCCCAGCAGCGACCCCAGCTTCCGCCATCGCATGAAGACCTTCATGGACGAGCTATTGCTAGTGCGTGTTGAGTGTTTTTGGCAAGGAAATGACGTGTTTTTTTGGGTGTGGGGGTTTTGGTCTGTGCCGTCCGCCATCGCATGAAGATCTTCATGGGCGAGCTCTTGCTGTTGCGTGTGCGTGTTTTTTTTTTTTTTCCGCTTTTTCGGTGCCGAGGCCGCCACTACACTTCGCGAGTGAAGTAAGTGGTGTGTTGTCTTGGCACATGGTCACCAGAATGTGGCGTCGTTGTCAAAGTAGTGGGTGGGGGGTGGCGGGGGCAGCGATAGGGTCGTTCCCCGGTGCCCGAGCGTTTTGATGCCATCGTCGGCACTGCTGCTGCTGCTGCTGCTGCTGCTGCTGCTGCTGCTGCTTCTGTCCTAACGGCCGTTGCGGTTGTAGAACAGAGTC